CAGTGAAAGGGTAAAGCAGGCAAAAAGAATCTGCTGGACAGGTGAACGAAAATATTGAAAAGATAAACTACATAAATCTACAGTAAGGACTTCACTGCTACAAAAACAAGCTAAAATTAACCAGACAACACTACATGTTCCAAATGATTAGCAATAAAGAGTCTAATTCTGCTTTTCTATTTTCATCCACTGATAAACTAATTAATCCCTCCAAAATCATACCAACTGAATTTTATTCAGCTAATAAGTGAATGTGATGAGGAAATATCTTAGCTTCTCATATTTATCCATCACTGACATTCGGATCAAATTACTACTACAAACACAATGTCCACATTATCATTTCTAATTTTTAAAGATCTGGAAGAAGATATTCACCAGTTAAAGTCTTGGACCTCTTTGCTTGACTTTGATCCCCACCAAACTATTCAAATTATAAGTCATTGCTTTAGAAAACATTTAGTAAATATTATCAACAGTTCTCTACATTCATGGCATTTTTCCTGTTTCTCTTAAATCTGATGTAATCATACCACTACTCAAAAAACAAACTTAGATCCATTGTAATTAATAATTAAGACTCAGACTTCCTAATCTTTCGTTCCTCAGCAAAGTATTTAAAAAAAATTGTTTGCAAAAAACCAAATGAATTTCTTTGATCTCACAGTCTTTATGATAAGTAACAATCAGAGCCAACCATATAAGAGCACTTACTAAAGTCAAAAGTGAACTAAGGATCAACAGTGACTCACACACAGTTTCAGAGTTAGTTCTTGATGTTGCTGCTGCTTTCAAGACCATTGAAAATGACCTTTTTAATTCAAAGGCTTCATGACTCAGTTGGTTTAACAGGTCAGGTTCTTGACTGGCTCTCATCATATCTATAGAGGAGTTTTTATTTTTCGCAGTTTTAGACAGCACAATTAAAAATTTAATCAGCAGTTCCTCAAGACTGAGGCATTGGTCCATTACTCTTTAACTTTTAAAATCTCCCACTTGGTACAATCATAAAAAATCCTAACATATCCTAATTCTTATGCAGATGATACACAGCTGTACTTATCACTTTCCTCTGATGATATAAAGTCTGTTTACAAACTTTTAAAAACTGGACAGAGACAAGACAGAAGTACTTGTCGGTCCAAAAAGTCAGAGAGAAAAAGATGTTCATATTTATCATCTCTGTCTAGGAAACAGTAAGTTAGGAATCTTGGCATCATTTTGGACAGTGATTTTGTTTTGATAATCACCTCAATAAGGTTACCAGACCTGCTTTCACTTAAGAAATTTAATTAAAGGTAATTAAACCACA